TGGAGGAACTGGGGGAACTGGGGGAATTGGGGGAACTGGGGGAACTGGAGGGAATTGGGGGAACTGGGGGAACTGGGGGGACTGGGGGAAGTGGGGGAATAGGGAGAATTGGAGGTAGGGTACAAGGAGGTTCTCTCTGTCGTAGCCCCTTACCTGTGGACAATGTGACCAGAAACCCGTGGATGCCTGACACCATGGATAGTGCCGAACCCTATGCGTACTGTGCTTTTCCCATCCATACGACCTGTGATGAAGTTTAATTTATAAATTAGTCACAGAGGCTACAAAATAGAGCCTCTGCTAAGAAAATAGAGCAGAAAATAGAGCAATTATCACAATTCACTGCGATGAGTCCATTGAGATCTCTCTCTCTCTCTCTCTCTCTGTACCTACTGTCCTGTGCTCACCCTGCTTCTTGGTGAGATGATAACATGCCCACGTGGGGAGAGATATTTGCGGTTTGAGGTGCGACAACAGCACCAGCGCTGATTCCTTTGTCCGTCAGTCTCAGGGCTAGAGGCCGTTCTGGCGTAGAGGCCCGTTCTGGCTAGAGGCCGGTTCTGGCGTAGAGGCCCGTTCTGGCGTAGAGGCCCGTTCTGGCATAGAGGCCCGTTCTGGCATAGAGGCCCGTTCTGGCGTAGAGGCCCGTTCTGGCGTAGAGCTTAGCAACCTCAGCCTGCGAGTTTCTCCTCATTAAGTCGAGAACTTTCCTCTTTCCACTGAGAGCAGCTCTTCCCGGCCTCCCTGTGGCATCTTTGGGGCCGTTAGCAAGTAAATCGAGGGTGACGAACCCGGGCACCTCTAAGCCCCACAGTGGGCCAGACACCCAGGTGGCGGCCGCGTGGCTGACGTGGGAGTGCACACAGTGCGGGCACGGGGCACAGGACGAGTCACACGGATATCGCACAACTTCATCACAGCTGCTCAGAGCAGCAGCAACTTAAAACTAACGACTTGTTCATGTCTGGAGTTTTCCATTCGGTATTTTTACACGGCTCCGGATCGTCTAAAACCATGGGAAGCAGAAGTGTACTATGTTTGCCACTTTGCATGACTAATTATTTCAGAATAAAAAGTGAAATAAATGACGTGGGCCGAGTAACCACGGGAGGGGAGGCGTGGTCGCAGAGCCAGCGGCGTGGGAGCCCTGGTTGGAAGGAACCGGCGCTCCCCTTGATTCAAGGCCGCCCACCCTGTGGTCCCACCTCCTGCCTGAGGCCCGGAGACCAGGGCAGAGGGGGGTGGGCGTGGTCCCGGCCTGGGGACAGCGGTGGGCAGGCTGTGTGTGTGTGTGTGTATGTGTGTGTGTGTGTGTGTGTGGGGGGGGGACGTGTCCGCATGCTGCACCTATTTCTATTGCTGTGTAATAAATACCACAAACTCAGTGGCTGAAATGACCCACTTACGGTCTCAGTTCCTGTGGGTCAGGAGACAAGCAGGTCAGGGTGAATCCAGGGTCAGCTGGGGCTGGGCCCACCTCCGGGGGCCTCCTCCAGGCCACGGTTTGGGTGGGTGCCTGGTTTTTCTAGATGCTGACTGGAGACCACTCTCAGGTCCCAGAGGTGGCCCTCACGTCCTTGCCCTGTGACCCTCCCCTCACAAAGTGGCATCTGCTTCTTCCCGGCCACCAGGAGGGTGTCTTGGCCCCGAGGGGAGCCTCTTGTAACACAATGTAATCACCTGAGTGGCCATCCCTTCAGTCACAGCAGCTGCCCACACTCAGGGAAGAGACAGACAAGGCCTGTGGCCCTGGGGCCATCTGAGAAGTCCCCCCGCCCCCGGCCCCCCTCTCACCCAGGTATGTGTCACGGTCCTCCATGCTGCTTCAGTAGCGTGCCCATGAAACCCCATCCCCTTCGTCTCTCTAGCCAGGTCTGCCTTGGGTTTCCGTCCTCAGGCCCTGGTGTCTCGCCCTGGGGTGCTCCCCCTCGCCACCCCCGCTCCCGCCCGCCGGAGCAGAGCGGGACTCCATGACCCTACAGCGTGAGGAAGCATTCTGCCAACTGCCCGAGCGAGCCCCTCGGGGGACACGTCCGCGTGGCCACTACAGTGACTGCTGGAACCAGGAGCATGGGGCATTCGGAGTTGCGTTTACGCTCTAACAGCAGAAGTGGGAGCTTTGTGGCGCTCTAGCTCCTGAGTCTCCTCTCATGCATTTTTGTGTGAAAACATCTCGTGATACTGACTGGGCTGAGGGCAGGACTTCCCAGGCGGAATGTGTATTAGGCTAGAGGGCGTGGGGTCACTCTCTGTCACTCTGCACCCAAGGGCATGTCCCATTGATGTTTAGAGGGAGCTGAAGGGAGGGGGAGAGACAGAGAGAGAAAGAGACACATCAATTGGTTGCCTCCTGCACGTGCCCCAACTGGGGCTGGGGATCAAGCTGGCAACTGAGGTATGAGCCCTAGTCCAGAATCGAACCCAGGACCCTTCAGTCTGCAGGCCGGTGCTTTTCCTGGTTGCGAACGTAATACATGAGGGTGGCATGTGCGAGGGGGTGGCAAACTTCTCCTGTAAAGGGCTGGTTAGGAAATATTTTCAGCTTCTGGGTCATGCGATTTCTGTGCGATAATTGAGTCCATCACTTAGTGCAAAAGCAGCACGGGCGATATGTGGATGGTGGGAGTGGCGTGTGCTAATGAGCATTTATGGCCACTCATATTTGAATTTCATGTCCTGAAATATTACTCATTCTTTAATTCCCCCCCCCCCCAACCATTAAAAATTATAAAAACCATGTTTACCTTCAGGGCCCTAAAAAAGCAACCCGCAGGCTGGCTTTGGCCTGCGAGCCATGCTTTTTTGGTGACCACTGGCTTTTAATTCTTATTTTTTATTAAAAAATATTTTTATTGATTTCAGGGAGGAAGGGAGAGACATAGGAACATCAGTGATGAGAGAGAATCATTTATTGGCTGCCTCCTGCACACCCCACACTGGGGATTGAGCCTGCAACCCAGGCCTGTGCCCTGACGGGAATCGAACTGTGACCTCCTGGTTTACAGGTCAACGCTTAACCACTGAGCCACGCCAGCCGGGCACCACTGGCTTTTTAGATGGACTCTCTATTCTAATCTAAAATCTGTCCCTTGTTGAATTCACAGGCTAAGACCAAAGTATTGTGTGCTTATCTGAGTTTCTTCAGTGTGTCCTGTGAAAATAACTCACAGGAGTCTCATTCGCTTGAAAACAGTAAGAACCCAGAAATAATCTCCGCTCCTTCCATTCTCCCCTATCCTGTAATCAAGGTCGAGTGTTCAGGGACCACTTTTCAAAGATGAGTAACATTGACACGAGGGAGCAGACAGGCAGCTTTCATTAGAGGCCTAACTCCCACACTCACGTGGGACAGATGCTGAAGACGTTGTTCAAACAGTGGGAATAAACTTTTTTGGGGTAAAATATGTTTTTATTATTAGAGAGAGAGAGGAAGAGTGACGGGGAGAGAGAGAGAGAAAAACATTGATGAGAGAAAAACACCTTTAAATGGCTGCCAACCAGGGACCAAACCCATAACCTGGAAACATGCCCTGACCAGGAACGGACCTGGGGACCTTTGGGTGCATGGGAGGACCAAGCCACACCAGCCAGGGCGGGACTTAGCCTTCTGTAGTGGGAAGGAAGGCGGAAGGAAGGGAATTGCCCTGAGTCCTCAGCTGCTCCTCTGGCCTGCACGGCGCATCTATAGACAGTCAGGGTGGCCTGCAGAAGGGGTCATAAGCCAACCTAACAGCTGTATTAAGCACATGTACTTCCCATTAGCCATAGTAACATGCCAACACATCCATATTTTAATGGGAACTATAAAGAACATTCATAGCAAGTAATTGACAGAGCCCTGGTTAGTATGAATCAATTCTCCATTTACTTAATTCAATTGGACATATGTAACTGCTAATTGGTAGAAGACAGTCAATGCTTCATGAGCTAAAATGAATAAGACTTTTGGGGGTAAGAAAATCAAGTGATTCTAGAAACCATCATCTGCCACACACACATGCGCACGTGCACACACACACACACACACACACACACACACCCCTAATATAATCATTTTATTACACCCATCATTAGAGTTGTCCTTTATAATGTAATCAATTATAAGATAATCAGTTCCATCATTTGCACAAATAGCTAATATAAAGACAGCAAGTATGGAAATGATAGTAACACCCCAAATTTCCTAAACCTTGTTCTCCGGCCCTGGCCCCTTGGCCAGGCGTCTCACCACCACAACCCTGGAGGAAGCAAGAAAGGCCAAAGAACAAAACCATCATGGCCACGGCCATGGCTACTGGCCTCACATTTATTTTTTCAGGTTTAAGCGAAGAGGGGAAAACATCTCAGATTTGAGATTTTTCTTCAGAACAGCTTTATTAGTTTGCATATGGTGTGTCTACCCTCGACTTTCCTGTCCTACTTTTTGACACACAAATCCAGTTATTCGTAGTCTTCTTCGCCCCATATTTCGTAGATGGTAACATTGTTATGTGGGTCTGCAGGCCTCTCAAAGTTCTGCCCCTTGTAGTCACCGGCAGTTGCCACGGCGACTTTCAGATTCCGCACCTTGGACATGAACTGCACGAGGTCCATCTCGAGCTGGTTTAAGGTGTGCAGTGCGTAGTCTTTGCTGGGGTTAGCACACTGGTTCTTCTTCGGTGCAGCACGAACCAAAGAGCCTCGAGGGCCAGGAGGGGTCTTTTCCTGTCAACAAAGATGTGCGGGGTGAATAACACCATCGGCTTTGGGGACTTGGACACAGGTCCAGGAGAGGTGGGCTCACCTAACAGAAGAAGGTTCTAGCGTTGCTCTAGTCCAGGGACTGGCAAACTATTGCCCAAGGGCCAATGTGGCCCACCATCTGTTATCGTAAATAAAGTTTTATTGGAACACAGTCCTGCTCATTCACACACATACTGCCTAGGGCAGGGGTGGGCAAACTTTTTGACTCGAGGGCCACAATGGGTTCTTAAACTGGACCGGAGGGCCGGAACAAAAGCATGGATGGAGTGTTTGTGT